ATGTGGATTAATATTATAATCATTAATTGACATGTGTTAAAAATAATTGTCTTTTAAAGCTATGGTATTGAATATGCTCTTCTATGTTCCAATAAATCTTGCATGACTATTGGAAAAAGTGACGATGAAGTTATCAAATTCAACTAAAAGAACTTTAATTTCAACGACACTTTTAATGATGACCTGAATATCAAAAGTTATGATATTGAAATATCCAGTAATGCTAAGGAGCCAACTGTTGGCTCTAATGTGGGACATCCCCACATGGAATTGTCCCATTAGCTGTTGGCTCCGTAACGAAGCCAACAGTTGACTCCTTAGCATTATTGTTGGAATACCTATGAAAATTTATGTAGAAATGTTTTTATTGGGTTTTTTTTATTAGAATTTGATATTTTTTCTTATGAAAAGTATGACAATAATTATAACTTATGAAGTAAAAGTCCATCCTTGTATTTGTAGAGTTGTTTTACAGTTTTACTTATTCAAATCGACACTATTTAATGTGTCCTCAAGCACTTATTACACTTTTCGAACCTAACTATAGTTAGAATTACCTAACCCTTTATTTTGAACTACAAAATTTAGTTGCACAAATATAATTTATACCTATCACTATAAACCTCTGATCCACGTCATCAGTAATTATAAGTCAAAGTCTTTATTTATTGTTGCATTGAAGGCTACAAACAAGTATAGTTGAATAAACATTATACTATATTTATTATAAAATATATATTACGTGTGTGACCAAATTACTCTATGTAGAATACATTGTTGAACAATTGGTGAAATAAATCAAGTATTTATAACTAACCATTTAGTGATTCAAAATATATAGTCGGTATATAAGTGTAAAATTATGTAGAATACTATTGAACATTTGGCGAAATAAATCAAGTATTTATAACTTACAATTTAGAGATTCAAAATATATAGTCTGTAAATAATTGTAAAACTTCAACTTGTTAGGCCTTTTTGGTTAGGTTGTTTCGGTCTGGTGCTGTACTGTTTGGTCTTTGTTGTTTTAATAATATTCTCTATTATTTTGAAAAAAAAAAAACCTTGTTAGGCCTAAATCATTCTTAGTTATTTTACATACTATATTATCGAAAATATATATACATGAAAAACATGACTAATTTCTACTGCAATCATGCAGTCATAGAGATTTTCGGTTAGATTAATACACACCTGTTTGATGTGTTGATCTAACAGTAAAAACTCCGTGACAACATTCATTATATTTTCTATTATAATAATATTAATCAACTATTCAAATTCTAGCAACACACGATCCAATAAGTTATTTGGTAAATCAATTCGGCAAAGTATATTAACTCAAATAGATCAACTTATATTATACATTTGACAATTTATAAATAATTTTATAACTTGTATGGAGGATAATTTTTATAAATATCTATTAAATATATTAAGTGAAATAAACATTATGTTCATAATAAAACATCACTAAAAATCTTAATTTTCACCTTACAGAGTTGACTAAACATATTTACGGTACAGTTAGTTGTTATTAGTTGTTGTTAGGCATGCTTAACTGTCATACAGTAATAATTTTTCAACCACATGCAAATCTTTCATACTATAAAAATTCTCATAAACAACATACATCAAAATATAATATTTCACAACATAATTTACATAATTTTATAATACTGGCCCGTGCGTTGCACGGGTAAATAATATTAAATAATATGTATAATATGTATTCGTTTAGAATTTTGAGTGTCACTTTGAGATTTTTTAAAATTTGAGACTTTTAAGATGATCAAATTTTAGAGGAATACTATGAAATCTTAAGTGTGAATGTGAGATTTAGAGTGAAATTTTGTATAATTTTTTTTTTCTTTTAAATCATAACTAATCTTAAAAAGACCTAACAAATCTTGATATCAAATAAGTTAAATATTTAAGGATATTTTAAGATTTTTTTTAATTTTTATATATCAAAGATGAACAACTTTTGTTACCAAAAAATGTAGACACTATTTTGAATTTACATCCCGTCTAAATATCAGTTTTATTCTAAAATAAAAATTTCACGTAGTTTTATCCAATTTACTCACTTTTTTTAAAGAAAAAAATTATTCAATAAGATTGGAAGAATTGGTTAAGAATTACACAACTATTTGTTTTCAAAATTTGTATTCAATTTGTACGGTTTTTAAGTTAATTTGTATTTAGAATTTTTTTTATATAAATAATTGACACATTTTTTGCATAAAAATCTCCAAATTTGTAACCAAAAAATATATGATTTAAATATTAGTAAAAAAAATAAAATATAATACGAAAAAAATAGAATTCAAATTTTGTCATAAGAATCTCCAAATTAGTTACCAAAAAAATAGGATTCAGATTTTGTTACTAAAGATTCACATGTGTTTTTTTGAACTTTCCATTAATAGTAAGTCAAA